GATGTTCAACGAGGAGAACAACATGACATGCTGTCGGATCACGCAGTTTATCGTGGTCTGTTGAGGGTGGCTTTGGAGGGAAAGATCAATGCGATCGTTGGCGGGCCAAACTGCAGGACGAGAAGCTTGCTGAGGCACATCCCCATTCCAGGGCAGCCTAGTGCCCCGAGGCCGATTCGCCGCTGGGGAGGTGAAGAGTTTGGTATTCATGATGCAACAGATGAGGAGAAACAGAAGCTTCATGAAGACGATGTTTTGATGTGGCGTTTTTGGTTTTTGTACATGGTTGCAGTGTACATGAGAAGGGCCAGAAAGGTTGAGACAGAAGTGACCGTCTCTGTGGAGCAGCCAGCAACCCCCAAGGAGTTCATGCCGGAGGTGGTGAGTTGGTGGGATACAAAAGAATGGGCAGAGCTGGCACGAGAGTTCAGCTTTGAGGAATCAACTTTCAAACAGGGTGAGCTTGGTGGTCTGACCCCGAAGCCAACGACGTTGGTGGAAACCTGGAGCTCTACGCAGCTGGTCATCAAAGGAGATGCAGAGCAGGAGAAAGAGTCTCTTGTTCATCCCAGCTTTCGAGATGGGCCCCAGGAGTAATGTCAATGGTTGCCTCAGCTTTGATCAGACAGGTTGAGGGCCCCACTTTCAAAGGGAAAGCTATGTCCTGGAGCGAGCATTTGGCTTTCAGGCATGTTCCATACAGGAGAGATTGCCGAGTATGCCAGGAGAGCTCACAACAATGCCCGCCCCATCGACTGGTCAAGGACCCAATTGCTGGAGTGCTTTCAATCGACACAGCTGGTCCACTGAAGCCTGCTTATGATTTGGGTGGGCACATGGCAAGGTATTTTTTGGTTGGAGTTTTGACCTGGAGGGTGCCAAAGGGGAGTGACAAGATGCAGAACCCCTCTGAAGAAGCAGCTTCCGAAGGAGCTCCTGAGATTGAAGAAGGAGCTGAGGATCCAAATCCACCGGGCGAGGACGGATTGGAAGCTGAGGAGTTGCTTCCAGCCCAGCTCCCTGGTGAAGCGCCGGCTGAAGGAGAGCCTGGCGACGCCCCTGGTGAGGACGGGTTGGAAGGTCAAGCTGATCTTCCAGTCCAGCTCCCAGGCGAGGCGTTTGGACCCCCAAATTTGGATGAGGTCACAGAATTGAGAAGGTTCAGAATGGCCTTGCCGATGGGTTCCAAAAAGGCGAGAGACGTGGTGAACACGGTGATGGAGTTTGTGTTGCGGCTGCGGACGGAAGGGTTCCATGTGGGCCGCATCCATTCAGACCAAGGACATGAATTCGCTGGCGAGTTCAAGACATGGGCCCGACAGCGTGGGATCTACCTCACCAAAACACCAGGTGATGATCCAGCCGCAAACGGCAGAGCTGAAATGGCGGTGAAGGACTTCAAGAACCAGATCCGCAGAACGTTGAGGCAGGCCAGTGAAGATGCGAAATGGTGGCCATGGGCTTTGAGGTACGTCAATGAGGTGTACCGATGTGTCCGGATGGAGACAAGACCAAGTTGGCCAAGGTTTTTGGAAGAAGTAAGAGTCCGAAAGCGGACATGGAGGCGGGATGACCTGGATCCCAGAGTGGAGAAGGTTCAGTATCTATGCCCTTCAGTGGAAAACCATGGTCATTGGGTGATCAAAGAAGGCGAAGCCCCACGCCTTACGCGCTACATTTTGGCGCCCACCACTGAGCCGGAGGATGAGACGGTTTGGATTGCGGTGGAAAGAGAAGGGCGAGATGCACAAGAACAGCGACGCCGAATCAGAGGCAGATCAGCAGTGAGGAGAATGGATGCCTCAGTTGCAGATCCTGAGGAGGTGCTGGAAGAAAAGGAAAAGGCTGAAGTTCAAAGATTGATGAAGGTGGTGGAGGATGAGATGCAGTCCATCATCAACGACGACCCAGATCTGGCCGCCGAGGAAGTCAGAATTTTGGGAAGGCTGAGAAAAATGGCTGAAGTGAAGGAGGATGGAGATGAGATCCTTCAAACAAAGGTCATCTCACCAAAGGAGGTGGTCAGAAACTGGTCGGAGTGGATCCCATCAGTGAGAAGCGAGGTGGAGTCCCTGACCATTGAGAAGGCAGCCTTGAAGGAGCTGTCAAAGGATGAAGTCAAAGCGTTGAAGAAGAAGGCAGAAAAGGAGGGTAAGAAGTTGGAGATCATACCTTCCAAACTGGTGTTCACTGTGAAACCTTCCCCAGACCACAAAGAAGGGAAAAAGAAAACCCGGTGGGTTGTTTGCGGAAACTATGAGGAGAAGAAAGAGGGGGAGGAAAACTACTCAGGTGGTGCAGATGCCACATCTTTGAGGTTGCTGGCATGGATTGCATCCCGCATGAAGTGGGCCGGATGCATCCTGGATGTCAGAACTGCTTTCCTCAACGCGCAGATGGAACAGGAGCCGGATGAGGACCTTCTTTTGGTCCAGCCACCCCACATCTTGAAGGAGATGAAGTTTCTGGACCCGGACACACTGTACCTGCCATTGAAGGCAGTGTACGGCTTCAGGCGCTCACCAAAGCTTTGGGGTCTTCATCGAGACAAAACGATCAAGACCTTTGACATCAAGGTGGTCATTGATGGCCGCTGCGAAAGCCTGGAGCTGAAGCCGATGGAGTCAGAGCAGAACCTATGGAAGGTGGTTGTGGTCAGAGGAGGCTTCCAAGAGGCAGAAGAAGAATGGATCTCAAACGGCCGAGTCATTGGCCTTGTGATGACGTATGTCGACGACATTTTTATCGTCGCCGAGAAGCAGGTGGCGAAGTCAGTTGCTCAGAAGTTTCAAGAGACCTGGGCGACCACACAACCGGAGTGGGTTGGCGAGACACCAGTGAGGTTTTTGGGCCTGGAGGTGACTTGCCACCAAATCGAGGGGGAGGAGAAGGTCCAATGGTGTCTTTCACAAGAGGCATACATCAAAGACTTGCTTGGGCGCTATGAGGAGGAGGGAAAACCACGAAAGCTCCCTATCACCCGTGACCAAGCTTCGATGCCTCCAGATGTGATTCCCCCTTCGCCAGAAGGAGTCAAGTTTTCCCAGAAGGTCATCGGTGAGTTGCTTTGGCTGGTGACCCGAAGCAGACCAGATTTGATGTTTGGAGTTTCCAGGATGGGGGCCAACGTTTTGAAGGCCGCCAACTGCATCAAGGACACAGCAGCACAAATGAGGTCCTATCTCAGGAGAACTGCAGGTGAGGGCCTACAGTACAAGCAGAAGATCGATGACCCGATCACGCTGTATGTCTACTCAGACTCCAGCTTTGCACCCGAAGCAGATGAGTCCCATGGATCGTTTGTGGTTATGGTGAACGATGGGTTGATGTTTTGGAGAAGCGGCAGGCAGGGCACAATCACCTTGAGCACGGCCGAGTCAGAGTTGATGGAGCTCGTTGAGGCGATGATTGCCGGCGAGTCAGTTTACGTCGTGCTGGCAGAGCTGTTTGGTGAAATCTCAAAGGTGGCATTGTGCGATTCGCAAGCTGCACTGGCCATTTTGGTTGCTGAGGGCGGAAGCTGGAGGACAAGACACCTCAGGCTGAGGTGGGCGTTTGCTCGCCAATCTGTGCTGCGTGGTGACTGGCAGGTGGGTCATGTCCCTGGTGAGAAGATGTTGGCGGACCTGGGCACAAAAGTTCTGACCTCATCGAGGATGGAAACTTTGAAGCAGATGATGGGCATGGGAGTTGCTCAGCCCGAAGAAAAAGGTGTTGAAATGGAGAAGGATGAGAAAAAAGAAAAGGAGATCAAGACCGACTCAAAATCGGTCGCCACCATGGCCGTCAAGCTCATCACGATGGCGGCCTTGTTGTCAGTGTCAAAGGCTCAAGGAGATGAAGAAGACGATGAACCAGCAGGTGACTTCCACAACTTTATGGTCATCTACACGGTGCTGATCATTCTGACCACGCTGATGGTCCAAATCCTGTGGAAGGTAGGAGTAGGCGCATTGGGCGAAAACTGGAAAAGAAGGTTTTTTACCCGTGGCCGAAGTCTCCCCATGGGTGAGGAAACGTCAGTGGCAGAGGGTCGAGCATGTGCTGAGGTGTGCGGACCCGTGGAAAGACCACGGCATCTGCCCTCGGCTGCTGGGTCGTCAAACCAGCCAAGCCCCGCTGAGGACGGGTTGGGGATGGAGGAGGGATCCCCAGTCCAGCTCGCGGTGGCTGAGCAGCGACGCGCCGGTGAGGGCGGGTTGGGGCAGAGGGCCTCAGTCCAGCTCCCAGCTTCGGCGGGTGAGGGCGGGTTGGAGGGTCATGCTGATCCTCCAGTCCAGCTCCCGGCTGCGCCTGCAAAAGCTCCCCCGCCAAAGGAGGGACCAAAGGCCCCGTCAAAAGCGGGCCAAACACCAAAGGCCCCACCAAAAGCGGGCCCAAAACCAAAGGCCGCACCACAAAGTGGCCCATCAGCTTCCAGCTCCTCAAGTGGAAGCACATCAAGCAGTATGACAGGCCGAATTGAGACGGCGATTCAAGACATGGCATATGAAGAAGCAGCCCTGTGGGACCATTTTGGAAGACAGGGCGACTTTCCAGGAGTACCAGAAGATCACAGCAGAGCAGAACTTGGATTTCAGGTGTTGAGGACGCCATGTGGAACAGTGTATCACGATACACGTGGATGCACCCAGCTTCAAGGACCACGAACTGGCTATGCGAGACCGTTCACATGGTGTGCCTTGTGCCGGGAAGTTGCGATGCGCACCCGTGGAAGGCCGATCCCTGGAAGTCCACTGCTTTTGCGAATGGGCGATCAGACCGTCCATACTGATCGAAGATGCCCGAGAGCACGAGATGCTACGGAGCTGAGAGGATGCATGTACTGTACAGAGTACAATGGGTAGGGCAGGTTGAGCTGTAAAGAAAGAAATGGATGCACTCTAACGACGCATCCAAGGGGGAGTGCAGAACGGCATACCCTGTTTTTCATACTTTGGTAGATCTGTACATTTAATTCAGACATGTTGCACCAATTGACATGTCACTGAACCCTTTTCTCAACTGCAGTCGACGTAGCTGCCCTTTTGAAGCTCAAACACCCGAGCTGCTGCCGGTGAAAACAGAGAAGGCGGCCGCTTGCTACGAGGACGAGGTGCGGAGGACTGAAGGTTGGGGACCTGGACATTTCCAGGTTTATTATACCACCTATATTTATGGTGATTTGGGGGATGGTTTATGACATTGTTTTACCCACATTACAGTATATATATATGTATATATCCACAAGCAACAACGCTTTCGGAAAAACCAACAGCTGGGGGCCCATCTCTAGGCCATCCACTTCAGCCGCAGCCGAGTCACGCTGCATGAAGTCGACAATCTCGCGGAAGAACACAATCCTTGGATGGCACCTCTTTGGACCCACAAATCTAGGCATTTTGAGTAGTACCCTCCAATAAAGTAACATGGCTATAGAAGCCATGGCCCATTTAGTTCGTTGAATGTTGATTTACGTGTCCATAGCTGTGTAAAATTGCCGAACCAATCACTAGAGCTCCATCGATGACAGGAAATCTTTGAGCAACCCAGAAAGCATTTCAGAAGGACTTGGCAAGTTTAGAGATGGGTTTATCCAGCAATTATATAAGGAATTACCCTTCAACAATTGATCGCTCAATGATCATGTGTTCCCTACAAATTGCCTAAATTGGAGCCGAAAAATACCCAGAGCCCAGAATAATACTTTCAGAGCCACATGGCTATCCCCCCAAACATCAAGCGTCTGATCCACTCCAAAGGCTTGCCGCGAAATTGCCAAGACGTTCAACCAGACCTGGCGAAATGAGGGGGTCCGAGTGGACAAGTCAAGGGTTCCTACTTGGAAGATCTTGTAATGTGGTAAACCCAACAAGAAACCATCCCCGATATCACCATGAATGGGTGGTCTACGCCATCCCCAAGTTCTAAGTGAGTTTATATCAGTAAAATTAAGGCTCATGGTTGTTCAATGGAGTGGAGTTCATCTTAAATATGTAGACAAATAAAAGTGTGTAGCAGTTGACAACCTCAGTAAATTAGTTCACTCGTTACCCACAGCCTATGTTTGTCGGGCTACGGCGGGGAAGTCTGACTCCCAGGAACATTATATGGATTAGATATGTTTAGTTGTCATGTGCATAGTTTTTTGTGACAATAATTATATAGTATTTACCATTATGATTGTGATGATGATAATGAATGATGAAAATGATTATCCAGCAGACTCAGGCAAAGCACATGTACGTGTTCTGGTCGTATTTTTTACAGGTTGACCCTGGCTCCAAATGAGCGACCTGAAAATAGGATGCTTTAATCCCATGGACAACACTGACAGGTCCCATCGGGCACATCCTTTGAAGGTTACCACACCAGCCCCATTGATGATACCGCCATGATTGGTTGGACAAACATCCACCTCTTTTGTGGCTGATGTTCCTATTTTACTGTTCGTTCACTGATATGTTCCAGCTTTCTTGTTGATTATATCCTCACACCCATGCAACCTGTTGCACATGGTCATACAAAGCCATATATCATATCTAAATACGTAAGCAAATCTAATCTGAATACAGGACCCAACAATATATCAGATGTCTTTTTCCAACCGGCCACCAGCTGCGTTTGGGCTTTGGAGCTCCAGAGCAGCGTCCACCAGCCGCGGACAATAGATCATGTCATATCATGTCAACTTATAGATGTAACGTATATCAACTTTGGGATGCAGGCCACCCAGTTTTTATGGTGCTTATCCGTCTATAACCCATACCTAACTGCCATGCGATCCACTTGCGATGCGTGGGATGCACCCCCAAAACATTGGTTATTTCTTATCCCCCAATGTATGTATGTATATATATATAGTGTTGGTTATTAAATACATATATACATATCTCCCATAATCTTTATATATTATCCCTCTTGCTTAAACCCATTACCCTCTAATCAAACAAGGATGGCCTTGTCCGGCAGCCACTTGCTGAAGGGATTGGCGCGTTCGGCCTTGAGGTCCAAGCTGCTGCCGGCCTGCGGAATCTTTCACGTTTTTTAAAGGCCAAAAATGGTGGATCTGAACCAGCGGAAAGTGTGAGAATTATAATATACATATATATATATATGTGTGTGTGTATACACACATATAATCATATAGATATGTATATTATTGTATGTATGTGTGTATGTGTGTATGTGTGTATGTCTGCATGGACGCATGGACGCATGGATGCATGGATGCATGGATGCATGGATGCATGGATGCATGGATGCATGGATGCATGGATGCATGGATGCATGGATGCATGGATGCATGCATGCATGCCTGCATGCGTGTATGCGTGTATGCGTGTATGCATGTATGTATGCATATATATATATGTGTGTGTGTATGTACATATATATATATATGTGTGATCTTAGATGGCTAAAATTCTGGAATATGATATAGCCGTTACAAAGCCAAAATCAAATAATAGTTCTCTTTTTTCTATAACTTGGACCTTGGGACCTTGGACCCTGCTGTCGAAATCAACCCTGTGATGGCTGGAAATGACCTGTTCTCCACTAAGAGTAGATGTACAGTATGGACAATCCACGGTTTGTAGATCATCTGTTTCTTCAGTAGCCATAGGCTTTTCAATATCTAGATTTAAGGATATGAGTTTTCAGGGATGGTATTTTGATTAAGAAACCATGTTGGTTTGAATATGCCTCCCGCTTGTGGACAGCATGGTTTTTCCAGATCAATCTACATGAAGGTCTTTGTGTCATCAGCAATCTTTCAGGTAGATCTCAACAGCTCAAGAAAGGTGCAAGCACATCCAGTACGAGCGTTTGGATGTATGGCCGCAAAGTGTGCCCCCATAGTAACAAACAGAAGAGTTTTGCTTGGGCTGTGAACAACTGTCGATTTTGGATCATTTTGGGAGATACTGTAGTTGCTTTGGACCAGTCGAAAAGATATATACATCTTATACATCTTATACCCAGACATAGATTATATATATATATATTGTATTTATATTATATTTATATATACAGCATATATAATGTGGTAAACCCAATTGTACACCATCCCCAATAGTACCATAAATGAAAACTATCCCCAAATAGGTTTATGGCAGAAGGTTCACAAGCCCCAGCCTTCAGCAAGATGGAAACATCACCAGAGGTGATCCTGACAAAACCATCAAAGTGGGAATATAGTGACTGCAGCAGTCATAATGATATATATATATACATATGTATACATACATGTATATAGATATGTACATACATACATGCATCTATATGCATATACATAAGTACATTTTATTAGAGAACACAATGCTATCTCCCAAGCCACGGGGGGGCGGTGTTGCCATCAATCATGAGGATAATTACTAGGATATAGTAAATGTACTATACATATTAATCAAATTGTTAATCATGGTATATTATGTACATATATATATATATATAATTATATAAATTTAATATATATATATACATAATAAACGTGTACTGCATATATATATATATCATACACGTATGACAAATTTGACATCTGGGGTCTCAAGCCATTGAGGGATACCCCGAATGGCAAGTCATTAAAAAATAGGGAAAATGATGATTCCAAAAATTCGGGATTCATCGAATGGTTTTCATTTGGGATCCCAACATTTCAAGACGCCCCAAGACTCAGCTCGCTGTCTTCAATTCTCGCCTGTTTCTTGCAAGAGAAACAGCTGAGGATCTCATTCTCCGGAGGAAAAAAGCAGTCAGTTTTTGCACATTGGGATTTGCAGAGATATTCCACATACAAGTAAAAGTAATAGGAATGGAGCAAAATTAGATTCCACAAAAACGGTACACTTATCAAGTTTGGTTGTCTCAAACTGGGGGATGCCCAAAAAACGGCTAAATCTTAATCAGGAAAATATTGATAGAACATGTGGAGATATTAATTATCCCCCATATTGAGATCAAACAAGACTTTTACACATCGACAATCTTAGATGGCCTGCGTACAGAGATGATTGTTTTGGCTGTTGAGCTGGTCAATATACTGTAGACCACCCACACACCCCTGTTTATAGCAAAAAAATACAAGTACCATTTCTTTAAAAAACGCTGTCATCGGCCAGGATCTGATTGGCCACCGTCATGATCTTCAGCGTCACCAAGAGCTTGAAGAGCATCTTGTCGCGCTCATAGAGTCCGCGATTCATGTACCTATACACCTGGCCAGAGTCGAAGTGTGGATGTGGTGATCTCCAAATCTATTGCATTGCTGGGTTATGCTGGGTGTTTGGACCATGTTGGTGAAACCAACCAGTAACTCGAGGAGTGTTCAAAACCCGCAACGTCAGTCGAAAATCCTCAATAGGCCAGGCAGTAATACAGTAAAATTAACCCCCTATAACAACTAAGCAAGCAGGATATTGGTCTCTGCTCAAATAGACTACAAATGGTGAGCTTGCGTGGGGACTATATATATATATGTATTACATGACACTAAGATAGAAGATATTCACCAATTTTTTCAAATAGAAGTTGCAAAGTTAGGGGTCGCCCGGAGCCATTTGAAATAGAAGCTGGTGCAATCGCACCAGGTTGCTCTTGGACTGTAAATTTGATTAAATTTGCCTGTAAAATCTGTATAATCTACGAAAGATTGGGGTGTTGGTTCGTGAGACCATCTATGATTCATCTATGTTCATCGAATTAGAAATGTCATAGGGGCCCATTCACCACATCAAGTGATGTTCACCGCAGTTTCACAGGGAGGCGGGCCAAATAAAGGAGCTGAGAGAATGGGATAAACATGTTCGAACATTTGAACCCCCCTGAAGAACAAAAAAAATAAGATATGATATTGATATTGCCCAGAAATTGTCGATCTCCTGCCAACTGTATGGCCAGAGTCCACAAAGAGATCCGCAGTGGTGACCCAAAATGGGGTCATGGGTGAAGTGCCGTGCTGAACCCTTGCCAAGAAGGCGATTTTCCTCATGAAAACTGCGGAAAGATCCAGAGATTTTCTACCCGCAGCCGTGGTGACCCATATGATTTTGCCGGTCACCATCTGGGAGGTGAAGATTTGGGCACCGTATGCACCGTCTGCCTGGTAGGTCAAGAAGTGGATGATCTTCTCCACGCGCTTCGAGGTGGGCTGCGCCTTCTCGGAGTTGCGAACCTCAGATGACGAAGGGGGACGGGTTGCACCTCGGTGTTTTGACCCGCTCAGAACCACAAAAAAAGCAAGAAAGAAGCAACACATAACACAGATGACTCAGATCGGAGCGAAATCAATTCATAACTTAGTGATGAATCCTGCTGGATACTACTGGATGATGTCGGTGGCCCGACCCATCACCGAGAGACAGAGATCTCGAATTGTTCCAAGAACTGAAGCAGCGAGCAGTTGTACATCCAGCCTTGGACGTGTCCAGCTCGTCAACGAAACTGTGGATGCACAAAAAATTGGGAACGGGGCCCCTAGGTGCTTTTTGCTGCTCCCAAAATAGATCATGAAAAGCGACTCAGTGCAGATCTGCCAAGGAACCAGATGCCTGGCTGGTAATTGGGTTCACCACGTTGGTCATATCCTGAGCCAACATGTCAGGTACCACTGTCTTTGTATGCTGGATGAAGCTGCAATCCATGAAAGTGATGCCACTCCAGCGTGAAATCGGCTACACCGTGAGGAACACCCTACCATCGTTATCCATCGTCCAAGTGGCCTGTTCACTTCACCAACCATTGGTTAAATTAGTTCGTGAGAGATGATACAGAAGGTTCATCCCATGTCTAGAGACAAAGCAAGACAAACGGACAGCTTGCGCCCAAGACACTATTCAACGAGGCATCCCCAAAAAATCAAATCTTGAACTCACTTGGCATAATAAGCACTATATAACAGAAGTCCTCTCCACTCATAGAACTGTCCCATGCTGCTTTCCATGGGCAGCGGCAAAGTACTCAGAGATCTCAGGAGCAAACTGTCATGTTGAAGTACATGATACTGCCTGCAAACTCAGCTGTTGCCCGATTGGAAGACTCCCCTCGCCACCGGTTTCTTACCCAAAAAGGCTACAGAAATGGTTTCTGTGTGCTTCAACATGCTCCACAAATTCCTTTCCCTCCATATCAAACATCAAATGGGTGTGTCTGAAAATAGAGAAAACCCCATTTTCCCAATGGTTTTGCTGATCATTATCCCGTTTTTAAATGGCTATTTCATTGGGAATATTAACCCAACATTTTCCATATCAAACATCAAATTGTCCTCCCAGAAACCATTCCAACATGGCCTCGGGTGGCCACAGGTCTGAACTGTTCGCGCTTCTCGTTGATCTCAACTTTCCTGGGAAGCCATCATGGAACCGGCCCTGACCATCGACTCAGCTGGTGAGTTGGATCTCTTGGGGATCGGCCAACAAGGTATCCACAAACTGATAAGATTTTCTTTGCTGCCCTGGTGATTTATTGGGCGCTTGCCCTCCATTCTTGGACACACCCCACAAGAAACGATCTGAATGTGTCCTTCAGAATGAGGTGTCCACAGTGATTTCAAAACCTCATGTTCCCTATTGAAATCTTGAAATCCCCAACTTTCATCGGGGGTCTGGGTCCCTCAGTCCCCGCCTTTCGTCCGCTTCCTTCAGTTTGCCCTCCACTTCCTTCGCCTTTGCCTTTGTGTTGGCTAGCACCTGCAAGCACTGGTAGCGACACACCGGAGACTGGGTTGTCACCATGAAGATAGGAAAATAATCTATACTAGAGAGCTGGGGAATTTTGCCCTTTGAATCTATGGGAAGTCTTTTTCCGGATATCAGTCAGTATCTATGCAATATCTATTTTGAATATCCTGAAATTTCCTGGTAAAACAGCCCATTTCTGCGGGTCAACTCGGTCCCTGAAATCTGGTTTAATTATGATTATTAACTATTCACCAACCTAGGCCATGTGACATCGTGGTGACTTCAGTATGATTTACCCAGCTCAAAAAAATGTTAGTTTTCATGTGGAGATCCAGTTCATAGATTTACCAACATAAAAAAAGGTGCTGTAGTATAACCCCCGAACTAATCATCGACCAAAACATCCTCAACCATCATGTATAAATTGCGTACATCTTATGTTTTCATACTTTTCATGGTTGAAACCCTTAGAAAACATGGTTAAATCCCCATGAATCACAATCCCGCCTCGATCAGCTCGGTGTCTTCCAACAGATTTCCCTGTGAATTGGACAAACGCTCCAACAACCTCGGCGGAGTGTGGGTTTTTACGTCAAAAAAAACATGGGATTCCCCGTGCCAGCATGGCCAGCATCTGCCAGGTTTTTGGAATCCTGAGCCTTCCGGCTGTTTATCCAAGAGCTGCAGAGACTTGGTGTTGTTGGTGACCTCGGCTGGACATCGAGCGGCTCAATCCATGGCCTTTCCAGAGATTTCGTCAACGATGGTCTTCACAACTCGTAGAGAAATGTGACTTGAAACCACCAACTACCCTCTGGTAATTATAAATGGCCATTTAGAGTTGATTTACCCATTAAAAATTGTGATTTTCCATAGTTATGTTAGTTTACCAGAGGGTGTTCCAGAAACAGAAATGCCATTGATGTCCCTTCAACTCGTTGCCAAAAGACATCTTCCTCAAGCGCTGCCAGTGTGTCCTCCAGGCTCTTCATTTCCTCAGGTTGAAGCAAAGCAAAGCGAAAATCATCGACGAATGTTGGTCTTTTCGAAGGTGGCAATACAAATCCCCTTCCCCTTGCAAGACAAATCCTAGAAAAATATCTTTCAGAGCGGATGTTTTTCGTGTTTTGAGGGTCAAAAGCTTGAAGCACCCTCCTGTGATCTAATCCAGCAACAGAAAATAACCGGTCCAAGCGTTGATGCTTACCCCTTGAAAAACCTTCGATGGAAGTCCCGTTGCCATAACAAAACTAGCAAAACCCACAGGTGTTTGCTTTGTTCCTTTAAAATCCATGAAAATCCATGAAAATCCAGTAGCCAATGCTCAGCCCTGGGAGAATTTAACATTTCCACAGCATCTGCTCCAAGGGACCATTCCAATGAGCTTTCCCAGCAGCTGCTGTTCCAATCCCTTCAACGTCACCGTGAAGTCAATCACCTGGTTCACAGGCAGCTAGCAGCCCCTGTGCCAACATGGCTATCGGCCAAAGCTCAAAACTTGGGAACCCCTAAGATCTATTGAAATTCATCGGAATAAATCCATCAACGTTCCTAATTCCATGCGTGAAATGAACCATCCATGGTCACCTTTTCTCAACTCCTCAACTGCAGAGTTTGAAACACCCGGATTTTTTTTCCAGGTCACGGTAGCTTTGGCTGAGAGCTCTGGGCTGAAGTGAGGATTCGGCAAGCGCGACGTGAAGTAGAGACTGAAGTTTTCCTGAAGAGAGGAGCAACTGGAAGTAACTGGATCCAAAAACTCGCTCTATTTAACATGATTCTGATTAAACATCAAAGTTTTAGCGGGATTGAAACTTTAAGGCATGATAAAACCAACAATTTTACAATATTTGCTGGAATATTCACTGAGGCTCTCGAGATTTTCAGACAACCCTAGAGAATTATGGAAAAACGTGACAAGAAAATACACTGAAATTGCGGATGAATGACTCTCAAAAAGGCTACATTCTAGGGATGTTTACTGTTACAGCAACATCTAAGTACTCTTTGTTGAGAAATGCCGTCCACATGTGCTATGGTCAAATGGACTTCTCTGCGCAGGAAATGCCACGATCGTGCCTTGTAGTCCATGTTCTGATCACTGACGTTGATGTATCTGTTCTTACCTTGGAGAAATCAATGGCTGGAGCTGCTGACCTGTCCAAATGTAGCAACACCCCGAAGAAATCGAAAAGTAAATTCCCACTATTTCAGTAGGATTTCACCATATCTTTTGTGGTTGCTATACAAAAGGGTGAATATCTCAAGGCATAGGAACGGATCATCCCCAAGTTTCAACCTCTGTTGGGTCAAATCTATGTGCATGGCCTTACCCTGGAAGAAAAGTTAGCATCCATGAAGTATACGTGCATGCGTACTTACATTACCTTACATTGCATTGCATTACTATTAGATTAGACCACATCATTGCATTACATAGAATACGCTACCAAGGTTTGCCCAGTTTTGAACCATACCGTACCCTCATGTTTGCAGTCGAGCCAAGTGGCCCTTCTTGATGATCTGTTTGTCCAAGACAGGATCAAGCATCGGGTCAACCTCGTTCTCAACGTTCTCGATGATCAAGCACAAGCCCTCGCCTTGGATTCATGGAACTTTGCAAGGCTATCTTGGATGGTCCCCTGCAAAAAAAATGCCGTGTAGTAGTAGGCACCTATCTGCATACGTAATTATATCATATCACATATTATATCATAAATATATATAATATGATATATATATACAGATATCTCTATATATATATCATATATATATATATGATTATATGAGTATATATCACTAAAAAACATTAATCTGCATGTTGCACTTTGCTGTTCTGCATCCATCACGTTACCGCGCCAAGAACTCCCCCGAGACCGTCGAGACCGTCGAGACTCCCATGGTGAACTCGATCTGGTCCTTCAAGTTCTTGGCTGAGAGCGTCGTGATGCACATGGATGGATTCTCGCTGATTCTAGCCTGGCTGGAAGTCAGTTGGGGGGAATCTCTGGATCCCACAGAAAAGGCACTGGAGAAGTCACTTTGGGGAGTCCAAATCAACCATGGCAACCAGGGGTGCAGAATTGACCAAAATAATGAGGGTAAAACTTCGAGACCAACTGCGACCAACGGAATGTCTCATCCATCATCCATCGTTAATAATCCATAAGTTTATCATACTTTCAGTCCATCATCCAGTATCATAATGATAGTTGTCATCCATCATGATGATACAACTGATGGATACATGATCATGATGATGATGATGATGATGATGATGGAGATCCACCGCCATAATTATTAGTTACCATTATCCATCATTGAGACCTCAACATCTGACCTCCGTCCCCAATAGCATCCCTTCGCCATGTTCGCCTTCTCTCGGGACTTGATCCAGCGGTTGGCCTGTCCCTGAGGGTCAACCATCAACGGATATCGCGAGGATCGGGTCACCATGATAGCGTTCTGGATCGACAGCTCATCACCTGCCATGATTGTGACCGGAAGATTTTAACTTCCAAACCCCAAAGCTCCTGAAAAAGTTCTTTGGTGGTTTAAAGCTCCCAAATATCAAAAGATATCAAAACAGCAAATTTCAATGGAACAAAGACCGCTGACACCGCATCGAATTCCAACGATCTGAGCTTCACACTTGGCAAACCCTCAAGGGCCCATTCTCCAATGGTGCCCTGATCCACCAAGAAGCTGACCACTGGGATCTGAGCGGCACATAACGCTAGAAACTGTCAGGAACTCCAAATCTGTGGCACAGATATTGAACTGAACATGGATTTGCCTGTAGCCCCGACATCTAATATGGAACCCCAAAAAATGGGATCGGAAAATGATGAAGAGTTTCCTATTGGAACAGTCATTTGGTGGGTTTCATGGTAGTTCCCTTTTCTCTTGCCTTCTCATGCGCTGGCACGCTTCTCTTCTGAGTGTCCGCCTGTGGGAGCATCCAAACTGCACAAAGATGGATGCACCTCTAAACTTGGGAATCCAAACATCTCGAAAATGTATGAAAATGTGGGAACATCGTGAAGATTCCAATCCCGAAACAACAGAAATGATGCGTTTGAGGCATCCCAAGAAACCTGGACCTCATCTCGATTTGAATCGAAAAAGGCCGGTACTGGCTTCCACTTCCACATCTGCAGGATTATCTCACATGATTTGGAGGGTCAAAAACGGCAACATGCCTTTCCTGTCCAATATCTGCCCATGTTTGAGATCAAGAAAAAAAAGGTGACAGTCTATGACATTCTTATCAATCAACCGTTTTGTGACGAGAATGTCTCGCGGAAAATCATGTGCCTGGAAGCTGGCGTAGAGCTTGTCACGGAACTCGGAGTTGAAGGGTCCACAGTAGATGACGAAGGCGCAAACACATCCCACATCGCCAATAAGCCTGACTCCAGCATGACGCACGACACGGCACTTGACATGGTGATGGGAAGTTCAGGTGGGGAATCGAACCAGCTTGAATCATAAAGAATAGGAAATTAACCTCCAAATGTGAAGTTATTTAAACAAGAAAACAATTGAAAACCGGGTCCATTGAGCCTGTTGGCTTATGGAAAACCCCTTCCAACCCAGGTGTGGATCAAAACCCGATCAGTACCCTTGCCTGAAAAATTAAAATAGCTGGTACGGCTGGATTTGCACATGGAAAATCGGAGGTATGGCATGACCCATCCCCACATAGACAGCGGGAAGCTGAAAAATCACAAAAAAGGTATAATCCTGTACTGTAGCAAACCACAAGATTTACAATCAAAGCTGGCTTGTCAACCACAACCACGAGCATCAACCAGCACCATAACACTAGAAGCAGCCAAGAACAGAAAGCGTCAACCACCACGAAAGCCCCGAAGCCAGCCTCTTTCGTCTGAGGGCAAAGTTTTTGGAATCCTCTGTCCTGCAGAAGCGGAACTGTTGCTGCCGTCTCTAATCTCTGCCCCATGACTTGGTGTTTGAGGGTTAGAGATCCTGCGTCACTGGGACATGACATACGAAATCATACCAAAATGTGCAATTCATCGCAGGACATTCATGCAAACTTCCCTTCCCTATCAATACCTGAAACCCAAATGACACCTATTTTGCAGGCTTGGATCCATGTGTATACATATATATATATATAATCAGTCTCAATAGCAATATCACTATCAGTATCAATCTCACTAGCAATATCACTACGTTTCAGTATCAATGTCACTAGCAATATCAACATCATAATCTACTACAGTACCAATTTGCCCTAAAAAAACATCAACAGCACTTCACCCCTTACCCGAAGTATCCGGCAGTCCATCGTGCATTCTCGCCACTGAGGCCAGAAAGCAGCTTGTTGGCGGCGTCCATCTGTCGTTGCATCGCTGCTGCACTCTCCTGCCAAGCCACTGACATACTGCAACAACCCTTGCAGCATCAAGAACTTAGAAAACCCATTGATTTCCAATGTGTTACGACCAGCAAAATTGAGATGGGAGGGTTTCATTCATCCTTATGACCCAAGAAAATGAGTTCGGAGGCTCATTGGTCATCTTCTATGCTTTTCCCGGGAAACTCAATTGGTACCTAACCTGAGCTAATCTCCATTTTATGTTAGGAATATGGAAACAACCGCAGGAGAGTCGCGCTGGTCCCGCCTTTAAGGTGTTCATCACGGCCTGGGCTTTCGCCAGTTCAGCATCCAGCTCGGCCACCTCACAAGTCGGGGTTCCCAGTGATGGTGTCGAGTCACAGGAGTAGCTTCCCCATTCTATAATCATTTGATGGGATATGATTCATGATGCATGATGATGATGATGATGATGATGATGATGATGATGATGGATGATGGATGATGGATGATGGATGATGGATGATGGATGATGGATGATGGATGATGGATGATGGATGATGGATGATGGATGATCGATGATCGATGATCGATGATCGATGATCGATGATCGATGATCGATGATCGATGATCGATGATCGATGATGATCTATGATTATCTATGATTATCTATGATGATCTATGATGATCGGTGATGATCTATGATGATCTATGATGATCTATGTTGATCTATGATGATCTATGATGATCGGTGATGATCTATGATTATCTGAGATTATCTGAGATGATCTGGGATTATCTGAGATTATCTGAGATTATCTGAGATTATCTGAGATGATATGATATGATATGATGTATATGTATTATGGTGATGACTAAATGGTCGTCATGAGTCGTCATGTTGATGATAATTATAATGGTGATTGTGATCCGATTCATGATCATAATGATCATTATGACAATAATGATAATGAGAAATAACAATGACAATGATTATCAGTAGACATCTAAAAATGCATACACATATCGCTCAGTGCCCTCTAAAGGACGAGTTCGGAGTTTGTGCAAACCACTGTGAGGTATTTCCTGCAAACCACCCTCGCATCTTTGACCTTCCACTACATTTCCACTGGCATCCGCTAGCCAGCTCTACTTGGCCCAAGCAGCCTCTGCCAAGACCTTGTTCAGCTCCGCTTCGGCCGCTTCCAATTCAGAGCGCGCCTGCCCCCAAGTAGCGAGATTTGGGTATAACCTAGATTTCCTTTTTTCCCCATCTACCAACCATCATTTCTTTAGGGACTACATCCTCAGTTTTTCAAGGTGATTGCTAGTTATTACCCCTTCTTGGCGATTACACTTCGGAAACTGGAGCAGATTCTGGGTGTCCAAAGAACTTGTCTCAGAGGGTTCTCTGGTTCATCTCCACCGGGTCAGCCCTGGACTAGGAATCTGTTTCAAGGCTCGATCTGGGGATACCTTGTATATCCCAGCGGGGAAAGAAAATCAGGAGAGGTAACAAATCTGCCACATCATCCACATCTGTTTCGCACATGGGATTTTGGTGGTAGCAGTATCTAAAACTGCAAAGCTTTGACGCGTCCCAAAATCATCAAAAACTGTTTCAGCATCATAAGAAACCTACAAGCACCTCACCAAAAACCGCCCAAGAAGGAAAAATCCGTTTAAAAAATCCCTCTCTCCATCTTTTCCAACAGGTTTGCCCCCATGTTTTACTTCAGAAACCAAACCCACCACCTTCACCATTCCCTTTTTCCCTTCACCTTGGACAGCTTTGCTTCGGCCACTTTTAGTGCGTCCATCTTGGGCTTCACAATCTTAGCAGCTCCGTGATACATCACCTAAGGCCGACATGGCTCAAGACCCTGGTGCCGCCTGGTAGCCTTTTAACATCAAAATTAAATTCAAAATGGCTGGTATAACTGGATGTTCATCGCCCATTCACAGGGCATCATATGTGTGTGTGTATATATATACATATATATATACATACATGTATATATATATATATACATACATGTATATACATATGTACATGTATATACATTCTAAACGATCCAATGATCTCTAGGCATAGATTCTTCCAAGTGGCCTTTTTTTCACGGGTTTGTTTTTTCCAACAATCTGGTCCCAAAAATCCAATGGTTTTCCCATGGTTTTCGGCCAAGGCACCATGGCCCCCACGAACTTGCACAGACCTGCTGCGGCACCACTGGCCTTGCCTGCCAGCTCCGGGTCCAGCACCTGTGACATGAAGCCACGGCGGCCAATACTGGACCGACCACTTGGGCCATTTGGGCCATTTGGGGATGGTTTATAGAACCCATAAAAATGGTGATTTGGGGGGTCACCAGTTTTTGATGCTGAGAAATCTGACTCTGAAAGATTTGAGGCAAACACCTCAAATCAGTAGATGCTCAGCCTATATTCAGGCGCAAAACATTTGGGTGTCAGTCAGCCAGCCCACAAATGGAAAGAACGCCCAACAAGTGATTTTTGGATGTATAGTAACTCGGCAGGCAATCTGCGGGATTAAATCTTTGGAAGTTGGAGTTTGTGCTCAAAAGGCTCTCCGTTGAAAAGGGAACCTACGGAAATCCAATTCAAAATCCAATTTACAAGCGCAATTCTTGTCTTCCAATCAAACGGAGAAGCCGTCACTGGCCTTTTTCTTGTGAAGTCACTGGCTCTGGAGATATTTAATGATATTTAGGTATGGGTCACAAGGCTCACCCACAAAGATGGATGGTTTTAGACCCAAAAAATCACCAGTTTTGGTGGATCCAATCCCCAGTTCACCGAAAGTCGCCTTGTGCGCGAAGGGGCTCCAATTCCTGGCCGCATCCTGGAGGCCAGCGGTCAACAACCAAATTCTCACGATCAAAATGGCCATAATTGATGTTGAACTAGTCCATTATTTCAAACACACCCAAATATCAATAGGTTAGGTTATATTACATAAATATGTATATATATATACTTATATACAGTATATATCAGAACATCCCCACTTAAACCATGGTTGAATCTGCTACCTCACTGAAGTCATGGCGGTCCTCATCGAAGCGCAAATAGGGCTCGAGCAACTCGCAGGTCTCGTCGTTGATGTTGTCCTCGCAACAAGGTCTCGCAAGAAGAAACGGCCCCAGGTTCAACGGTGGCACAAAGATATGGGAAGTTACACCATGACTTATAGATATCAATAGATCCATAGATCATCTCCGAGGACATGAAACAACGGGCGGTCCTTGTCGTTGGCGGCGAAATCCAGGATATTGCTCAAGAAGTTCATATCCTGCCCGTATGAACACCGCAAAACATCCCCAAGGGATGACTGAAAGATGTTTACGAAAATTGGAATGTTGCGAAACAATGAAATGCGGCACAAAAGCATCTGAACACAACGAAGACGGCTAAAACCATTCAAAACTGACCGGCACCCGGGAGTCTCAACCATCTCTATCCATGGTTTTAGCGCCTGCAACTCCTTCTTGGCATATTCTTCGTAGGAGTCAGCCAGGAAAGATGCGGTGACCTTGTTGATGAACTTGTCCTCCACCTGTCAGTGGTGAACCCCACTGCGAAGCACTACTGCACCCGGCCCGGGTCGGGGTTAATAAGCAGAAGATTTCCCATACATATACACCCATATGCATACAATGTCATACAATCATACTATTAAGTTGGATTAATTCACAATCGACAACCAGTTGGGATAAGTTCCCAGATTGGATCATGATAATCCTCAGTGAACAATTCGGTACAAACCTGTCTTTCACCATCAATCATCGGAGATTCAGGGCATTGCTCAACTGATTTTCTCAGCTCTGAGCATCCAAATGCTGCCGTGATTTTTGGGACTGTACCTACTGTTCCCATACAGACTTAGAAAAGCAATCTGACTCAAACAGGAGGAAATCAATCATATGCAGTGATTAGAAAAATCCAAGAAACACAAACTAGAATTGGCAAATTGCATACACTATGGAGAGCTAGCCTTTTTCAACACAGCTCTAGCCTTGACGCTCTGCACAGGCTTGGACTGTAGAATTTGAAGTCCGTCGAAGGTGAGCTTGATGATGTCCACCGGCTTGTTGTTGGTCTTAATCTCTGTAATATCCTGAAGGCCATGGCATGGCCATGGATTTCATAGATCAATTCTGATGGACTATAATTCCACCCACCAATCAGAATAAACCCTGCTAACTAAATGTGGCCCCAAAAGGAACAGATCCAGAACTGAACCAGTGTTTCTTGCTGAAGAGTTGGTGAATAAGCGTCAAAGTGACGATTTAAACAAGCACAAGTGGGGGGATTCCGAAATGTTGTCCCACACATAGAACACTTTGAAGCACACTTGTTGGAGTGACACCAAGCTTTATGAACCAGTGATGTCTTTGGACTGTCTTAAGCGAAAGAAGGCACACAAGTACCAACAGGAAAAGCATTCTACCAGGTGAGTCTGGAACAGGTAGACTGTATCGCGCATGGAGCCACAAAAAAGATGGTCAAAGGTTACATCTCTGCAGGGCACTGTACTCCTTTTTCCCGGGGTCTCCCAAACTGCTGTGGCAACGCTGTACCCTCTACCCCTGGTGAACATCTCACAAATCAACCGACGAGTCCGAGTCTTGTCGGCTCCTTCTTGGTGATGGAGTTACAGGCTGACTCGGCCTCGTGCAGGTAAGGCAGAGCCTTATCCAGCTCCACTTGGGCTGCTTGCTTCTCACCTTGCGAGGGACGGTGCAAGAGCCAAAGGTGAATCGACAAGGGCCCAACTTGGGTCAAAAAAATGGATTTCACCCCCAGAAGTTGAGAAATTTGGAGGGTCTGACTACAAGTTTTTGGGAGTGTTTAAGATTTGAAACGACCCAAACTTTGGAGGGCTTGCTTCTTCTCAAAGGGACCCATTGACCCACGACCATTGGCACCGATCTTGCAATCCTCTCTTCATTGGCCCATCATAAAGAACCAGTGCACCTTCGATCTTGGCGGCCTCTGCTTCGCATTCGGCCTTCTGACCATTCACCTGTGTGTGCGGCTGCAAATTTGCGGCTTTGCATCTGTATACTTCCTTGTTCCCACATAGCCTGACATAGTACCAATCCATTCAAATCCACAATATGCACAGAACCTATAGCCCTGCATGCCCTCTGACAAGACTCAGAAAGTATTTCCACGGGTCCCCTATCAGTGGATCCAGCTACTTGCCCACCTGCTCAGCTTTCTTGTCAGCCTTTCCTTTCTCTGCCATGACCTGTTCCCAAATTCAGAGCGGATGGCGTTCAGCATCCAAGGCCCGGATTGCTGAAAGGAGAGCTGAGTTGGTCTGGAGGTTTTGGGAAGACCCCATTCCATTACTTTGCATAGTCTATCAGGATGTTCTGATTGACATTGTGCCACAACTTGGGATATCCACAGTTTTCGGACAAATCCATCTGTCCATCACTCCACACATACATGAATTCTCCAGGGCACATTTGGGCTTTAAAAAAAAACGTGTTCAAAAACTGATGACTCAGATTGCAAATTTGGTTTTGGTTTCCTCCAAGTATCCCAATATTTTTTAGAAGGTTTTGCCCTTACCGCCCAAAGCGTTTGACACAACCCCCACCTCTGGTCATTTGTTGCAGGAACCTCATGAAATCCCTCGAAATCCCCTCACGTTTGAATCAAACCGTTGCCTTCTCCAACAGGGCTGTGGTCTTCTTCTCTTCGGCTCGTAGTACCACATCTTGCTCTTTCAGTTCAATCTGCCAGCAGCCGATAGCTTCGGGCCAGTTTCAGAAGGCCATCTAGTTGGCTTGCGAAGCAACATCGTTGATCTGCAGATCTCTTGGTTTTATGATGTTTATGACCTGTTTGTCACCATGGCGATAAAACATCACCATGTTGATGTTCCTCTCTCCCATGTTCGTCAGTCCCCATCTCTGTTGATCATCCCCTCAAAGACAAGACAAGCTCTGGTTTTCTCCAAACATATTCGAACATCCTAGGCCAAAAAATCTCATTGTTGAGAAAATCATGTCCACTAAATTGCCATAAAAATGATAGGGCTCCTTTCGCTGATTTTTTTTGGACAAAGCCCGACCTTCAACTTCTCCACAAACTCGGAGGCCTCGTTCGGTCGAAGAGCCAAGCATTTTAGGTTTGAGTTAGAGCTACCAGCTACCCTCTGGTAAACTAACATAGCTATTGAAAATGGCCATGTATAGTGGATTTTCCCATTAAAAATGGTGATTTTCCATAGCTATGTTAAATTACCAGAGGGTAACGATAGGAAATGATAAATGATAGCCTGGAGCAGGTAGCATCATCTGATTTCCCCATCAAATGGGTGTCGAATCACCAAAACAAAACGGCTAGTTGTTGGCAGTTTCCCTGATAGGCCTCGGGTGATGCTTGACATTAGGGTCCTCAAAAAGACAGAAAAGTGTCATCTCTCGGGATGACTATAGTTGCAATTAGTTTCTATGTTGATGACAATAGCCTGTTTTGATTGATGATAAAAGGTATTTGATTATTGGGAACAACTAACACCTATCTATTTCAGGACCCCTGTCGACTGGAGTGTATCGGGGTAACATAACCCTGTGCATCGTTGGGAGCACATCATCATTGTCATCCAACTCAGCCAACACTTGGGATCTGTTTATTGCAGCGTGTCGGTGCGTGAAAGTCTCATATGAATATGTGCCTTGGTCATGTTACATGGGATTAATGGGGTATGGTCATTCTATTGTCATCAGTATCATCAGGGATTCCTTTTAATGGCTATATAAACCCCAGACATGTTCGTATGAGGATCCCCTAATATGGGTGTAGGCGCCTAGTAGTGGGCCGAACTGGGCAAAGTCAGTCCAGGGCACTTCCTTGAGCTTCTGCAGACCTACGTTCACACTCCTCTCTTGAACGTTGATCTCCTCATACTTGACAGCCTCAGCCATGCTTAGATTTAGATTAGGCTCTTTCAGAGAAGTGGAGATTTTAACACTCAGCAATTGGAGAGATCGTCCAAGACCGGGTAATGTTTCAAATCCGACACATTGGAAATTTGCTTGGCAGAGGTTTCCTGTCCCTGAAAACAACTCTGGGACTCTGGAATCTAAGCTTCCCCACATACAGCACCTTGTAGAAATCAATGAGGCATAAGAAGCTCTTGGGCGTCACATAGACGTTCTTGCGCATGCCTTAGTCTTGGAGGATCCATGGCAGTTCCACATGATCCATGGCCGCATAGGTACGGGTCAGTCTTTTTTTGTTGCACGGGTTCTGCCTGTGTAGCATAGGTATGGGTCAGTCAAATGCGGTACTACAAAAATTGGAAAGGTTGGAAAGCTGTGGTCCCATGGTCTAAGGCTTTCATTCATTTTTATCAATAGACATCAATAGCATACAGGTTTGCCTAACAAATGAGCCACCCCTGTGATTGTCTAAAGCCTTCTTAAGAGAGACCCATCCCTTCCTGGGACGTCCGGACGCTGATAATAGACGTCGCAGAGGTCTCTGGTCAGCGCCTGGAAACTGCCTGTTAGGGCGTAAAGCCTGCCCTTGTCCTGCTCGCTGCAGTCCAACCTTAGCACGCACAAAATGGCCTTGTCGCACCGTGACATCCAAAGATAGCATGTTTATGCATGTTTACCATATATACAAGGGTCCGGGGTTTTACCATCCGGAATTTGTTTGTGTGTGTTTATTGTCAGGGCCACTATTTTGGATGTTTTGAAGGTGGTATGTAACCAACAAGTATGAGGATAAAACATCATTGATGTAACCAATCATTTTGGGGATAGACTGGTGTGTATCATTTGATGCAACCCTGCTTTTTCAAACAGAAAACACCTGTGGTTTCACCATCCAAAAAAATAGGGCACCCCCAAATCCACTGGTTCATCATTGTTTCCCTACTTTTGCTAAAATTGCCATAGCTCTGGGGGGTCAATCATTTTCAGACAAACCTGCTGTCTATCACATGTACTACTGGGGTATCGTCATCCCGCCATCATCAGGGATTCTAAACATAATGGGTATATACGATATATTACGATATGTTATATGAACACCCCTGTGAATGGCATGGGAAAATGATCATTGCCAACGAATTTGTTCGGGAAATTTCAGGAACTTGGCCATGGTATCCAAGGCATCTAAGAAGCTTGTAGGTGCTCAAGAAAGCACTACTCACAGCCACAAGGGCGGCCTCCGGCCAGGGCATGAACCTGGGCCCACGGGCGCCAAGCTTGGCCAGATGGAGCCAAAAGAAAAACATGGAACGCCAACTTCAAATGGGATATGGACAATGATTGGCCTATGGGTTTAGGCAATTTTGGGGTTTCTGCATGAAGAATTGAGGGGTTGTACCTGTTTTTGCACCCACAGAGCTGGTCACTTGGTGACTATCAAACCCAGCAATTTTGGAGGTCAAAACTCTTAAGGGATTGGGAACCCTCAAATCCAGATCTCCATCTGCGCAACTGAACAACAGCGATGAGTCCCTATTGCCATTAGAGAGCATGTTGCATCCCAATCACCTCCAACCCCCTAACCACCTGTATAGTACGCGTAGTTGTAACCCCATGTTGATTGGTAACATATCCCATGTGTTGTTTGTCAAATATGTCAAATTCAGCCCAGTCTTCATGGATTTTTCCATGGTAAACCCATGGTTTCTACTGAAAATTCCCCGTATGAAAACCGCCATGTTTTCGCAGCCAGCGGCCAATTGATGTTCACCGTGAAGACGGCTGGGAACTTCTGCGCTCGGATGGGGAATTTGGCGTTAACCTCAATGATCACAGATTGATCACAGGGTGTCCATAGCTAAGCGGCAACCATTATCTAATCATTATCACTTCTGGCTGAATTATCACTGTGATTTTGGGTTGGTCTCCCTTAGGCCTTAGCCTAACTGGGCCTAACCTTTGTGACTTCGTGGTGAATGTATTCACCATCCCAGACATCCCAAACATCCTGGATTGATCAATGGGATCATTGAAGAATACCGAGACAGAAGGACTGTGACTATGATACCGTAGATGTATGTATTCATGAATCAGCAAACCAGCAAAACAACAGGAATTCTCAATGAAGGGAATCAATGGTGGGATCATCATCCATATCAATGGATTGGTTCAAGAGTAAATGCTACTGGAAAACCGGAAAACCTGTAATTAGTGGTAAAATACCCAATGGTTGACAGACGTTGACAGGCGACTTGAGTAGCATCCCAGCCATCCCCAGCTCCAGAGACCCAGCGACTGGAGAGAAGCACAAACAGACGTGCAAGTTGTCCCGAAGCCGATCCATGAGGTAGTTGTACATGTTCAACAGGTTCTCCTGGGAAGGTCAGATCCCCCCAAAATCATTTGTCAAATCATAGGTGGCATGACCTCCAGGTCATAAGTGATTACTAAAACTCGAGTTCCACGCCAGCGAGAAAAGCGCTCCTCCAGGTTGGGGTTGTCCTTGACAAAGTCATTTCGCACGTCGCCGCACATGGCGTCCTTTTCATCCTTCGCGAAGAGACCGACAACTTCTCCTGTCCATTGATGACATCACCGGATGGCCGTTTTTGGGGAAATCTTACAAACATGGATTTACCAGCCAAATATACGGGTTTCATGCAAATTTTCCATGAGTCTCAGACTTTCAGTGGCTGTGTTCATAGTGGAACTAACGCAACCCCACTAACCCCCCGTGCGCCTGTTGCCAAGAGCGAGTTCCTTGGGGGTTGAGCCACTTTGAAGATAAAACATGGACATCTTTTTGGGAAAATCTGATACTTCACCACTGTCCACTTGTAAGATGCGGCTGCATTGCTGGTGTCTTGAACATGGATCAACCTACGCAGTCCAGTCAACCCCAAGCCGTTGCAATCAAGGCACATGTACTCCAGGAATCCCTGGCCAGCGAGATGTTGACGCCAACCACTTCGGAATCACGAATCATTTGATGTTGAAACCATGTTTCATCATCCCAAACCAGTATCAGTATGGAACACAAAAAGATGCGCAAAAAAAAATGTTGAAACCACCAACTGATGTTCATGCTGACTCGGCAACCTCTTTAGCAAATCTTCCTATGGTGTTAACCTTTTCAAGCCCAATACCAGCCCTGAAGGGCTGATCCCGATCCCTAACTCAATGAACAAATCTGGTTCAATGATAATGATTCGCCAACCCGAAATAAAGGCCATTTGGATCATTTTGAGATAGTTACCCATACAATATGATACAATATGTACATATATATATATACATATATGTATACACATATGTGTACTGTATATATACATATATATATATATATATTTATTATATATATATATATTATATACATATATATATATATGTATATACAAAGACATAATTCCCATCATTTCTACACCAAGTCGTGGTGACGTTGTTGAAAAATCTACCCACCCAGTACGCCTCGCTCTTGATCTCGGCATCGGTAAAGATGAAGGTCACGCTCTCGCCCTTGACGCCCGCGCGGATGCAGAGGGCTTTCAGATCTTCGAAGAGAGCGTTGTCGTTGTAGGTCTTCGTAATGGTGATCCTAAGCGGCGATCGCAATCTCAGAGGATCATCGGTTAGGGTTAGCGGCAAGCCTGATATGGATGTGAAGGAAATTGGCTCCCACCGAATGGCCATGTTTTTTGGGAAGATGAAAATATATAATATAATGTAATGTAATATAACATAACATAACAGAAGATAAGATAACATAACATAACATATGTATATATATATATACGTATATATATATATATGTATATATATACACTGGCATATATATACATAAACCCCTTGATTTGGGTACCACAGTTTCAGACAAACTCATATACCCTGCCCCGAGAATTGGGTGACTGAACTTACTGGAGTGAACCTCCACCATGGCACTCCCTGTTTCGAAGGTAGATATGGTCAGCTAAGAGAAAAAACAAAATGGACAGGTAGGTAGAGACATCGTGATCTGTAGGAGAGGTTCTGTTTCTGAAGACTTGGAACTCACACTGCAGGGTTCTCCAAACACATTCACCCATCTGAAATAAGGTCATGTGCCGATATGTTGCCTTGTGGTTTTCTCTAAAGGGCTACAGGCTATGTTGCGCCTACACCTCATTTTGTTTTCGCCCGCTCACATGATGTCACGACAGATGGCACGACGGCTTGCCTAATTCCAGGAATATAATGGTCGAGACCTTGCCACCCACCCCACCCCCCACCCCATCATCACCGTAGCATCAACATTGAGATCAACCCACCCAAAACCACCCCACCCCAAAACCACCCCAAAACCACCCCACCCAACCCCACCCCACCCCAACCAAAGCAAGTCCCCTCGAAACCCCACGTTCGCCCACACCCAAATAACACAACCAAACAACATCACATACTTGTCACCAGAGGATGAATGAACACACTGGCTATACGCAGCGATTTTGACTTTAGCTTTTTTAGGATTTAGGGTTTAGGCTTTTAGGGTTTTAGGGCTTCAGGGGCCTAGGGTTTTAGGTTTTGGAAAGTAAAAAACGCTGGCCCTACGCAGGGATTTGAGCATGTCAAAGGATATGCGGGATCCGATGCGGGCAAGCGTGGGGTTTGCAGCGATCAAGTCATGTTCATATTCAGAGATAAAACACAACTAGGCGCACGAGGAAGTTGAAAAAAAACTGCAAAAACGTGGACGCTAATTATCAACATGCCTCCTGAAATAAGGTCATATTAGGATCATTCCTCTACCATCATTAGGAAGATATTCTCTACATTTTGCAGTGTTTGATTGCCAGTTATTATTTGTTGATGGTACAGCAATACTGCTGTGGTTTATGGAACTTTTATGGTTGGCAAATAGCACTAAATTACTAAATACTGTTCGAAATGAGATTACATGGATTGTCCTAGCCATAATAATCTACCCAGTATTCTGCGCCAATTCAACTGAGTCACTGGAAGGCATAGTGAGACGATGTGAAGGCAGCAAGCCTGAACCAGCCACATGGCCATTCTTCCAACATGTGCCATGGATGCCATGGTCATCCCACCGTGGGGAGGACGCCATTGCTGGATGACCATCCCCACACAAGAGTTGGACAATGGATCTGTGAATCATTCGGATCCGCAATTCGTGTTGTTATGACCTTTCCCTTGGAGGTATCCTTTGTAAAACTAGCCATAGATCTGGAAAACCAACTATTTGTAGATAATTTTGTGAACGGGAAACCATGGCTTTTCCACAGCTTCTTGTATCTTTTCCCCAGGGTAACAATCTCACCCACCCTGGTGGTTTCTTCTTTTTTCTCCAAGATGTCCCTCCGGTTACACCGGCGCCTTGCCAAAGACTGCTTGCCGCTACCTCCGACGCCGACCAACATGGCACTGCCACGCTTCTGTTGGATGGTGCCTGGGGTCATGGTGGCGAATGGTGTCGCTCCAAGCTGGCGAAAGGCGACGCCAAAACTATCGTTTCAGAGAAGATATGAGAAGATGATGATTAAAATTGAGGAGAAATCATGTTCAAACAAACTCATGTCCACTCAGGTCTCAAAGTTTGAGAAACTCAAAAACCTAAGAATTTTTGGCGGGCTGATTGGGGGTGCCCCATGTCTGGGAAAACTGTACTCTTCATCAGGTGGGGAAGAACACCAGGTTCCACTTGATGTTTTCACTCCAAAAAAGATATCTTTTAGGAATCATCATCCCATCTTTCGTGACGGAACAGGCAACAAAACTCTAAAAACGAGTCACCAAAAACACAAAACGAATACCTCAAAGGAGAGAATGTTTACAGCTGCGGGTCAAACATAAATCACTGCGACTATCAGACAAAAAAAAATCGATGTTTCATGGTAATATACACCATATATTCACATATATTCACCATATATTCACCATATATGTTGTTCGTGGTACCTGATGTACCTGCAGCACGAGTTACGGTTGATCTTCATCAAATGCTGCATGGCCTCATCGAAGAGCACCAGCTGCATGGCCTGGAAGCCCAGAAATCTCGTAAAGTACAGCGTAATAATAATGATAATGATAATGATAATAGTAGTAGCAGTAGTAATAATAATAAAATAAATATATATAATATATATATATATATACATATTGTATAATATAGATATATGATGATATATGTATATTGAAAACAAGTGACAAGCAGAATGCAGTGTTCATGTTTGAGGGATTTCGACGGAAATATGACTATTCAGAAAATCCACAAAAAGCACATATCTCGGGGAAAACATTGCGTGATACATGTATATATGTAACAGAGGGTGAATCCACCGAAATGGTGGTACCCAGCAGAAATGTGACATGGCGTGCTGGGAAATCATTGCCTTTACAAGGTAAATCATCTACATCATCTACATCCAGCCCGTGGCAATCAACCAAGGCGGGTGTGATCACACTGAAACTTTAGCAGGAAAGCGAAGCACTGAAGCACTGTCTATTTTTCCAACAATGACAGCTTGCTTCAACCCCAGCATGCTAGTCCTACTAGTCCCAAGTGTTGACAACGCAACCTGCCCCTCGTCCAAGTGCCAGTCTTGCCCCCTTTTGGGACTTTCCAGCAGATTTCTCTTGGACTTGCGAGGTCCAAAGTGGCTTCCCAATGGCGTCATGCCATTTCAGGGACAAGCTCCTTGTAGGACCGGATTTCAGGTTGGAACTCCAGCTTGGTTATTCCCACACGACCTGAGTCTCCATTCCGGACCTTCAAGACATGAATCTCCACCTCGCACGTTGAGCCCACATCTGGGTCCCTGTTGGGCCGGACCACATAAAGACCCTTGTCACATTTGTTATACCAGTGGGCTGAACCCTGCATGTCATACAAGTTGGGCTGCGCACCAGCAATCTGAGATCCCTTGGTGGGATGAACCACCACCCAAACACAGACCTGGTACTTCTTGGCAAACCGCTGGAGCTGCGTCATGTAGCCACTCACCAGCTCGGTCTCTGAGAACTCGCTTCCCAGGCCCTGAGGTGCGGCAATGTAGTTGTATGGATCGATGATGAGATTCTGCAGGTTGCCATCCTCAGCATACCTCCCAGCTCGCCTCAGGATCTGCTCCAAGTCCATCTCAGCCGAGAAGTCAGCCACGGGCCGGAAGTGCTCTGAGATCCAAGCTTCATCCTCAGTTGACAGAGAGCCCAAGTCACGAAAGTTCTTCTGCGTCCTCTTTTCAAGTAGCTGCAAGGTCAACTGGTCGGCCTTGTGCTCAAACAAGCACAGCCCAGTCTTCCATCCATGCTTCTGAGCCAAGTTCAGCGCCACTGAAAGAATAAATTCACTCTTGCCACTGCCAGGCCGGCCGCAAAGAGTGATCACTTCACCTCTCACTGGTCGGAAATTTTGATCTAAGGACTGATATCCAGTAGAAACACCAGTGTCAAACTCTGAAAGCTCACCACGTTTGTATCTTTGGACTTGCTTCACCTGCTCCGTGAGCCTCTGCCTTGCGGATCTGCGCCCCCGTGTGGCCCTCGCCTTGGGGACCCAAGGGCACAGGGAGAGGCCCAGCGCCGCGACACGGCCATCCCACTGCGCCTGTGGCGCCCGTGACGCCCGTGCAGGGCGGCCTGGCCCCATTTGAGCCATGGCAGCCATGGGGCCGGCCACGGGGCCGGCCACGGAGGCCACAAGGTGCGGCGCCAGCTGGGCCATGGGGAAGTGACACGAAGTGACAGGAAGTGACGCCCGTTTGGTGGTCGCGATGACCTCTGGAGCCACGATCCATGCATGGTGAAGTGGAAACTTTATGAGTGAAACTAGCAGAAATGTAGAGAGGTGTGTCACACAACAAGTTGAGACCATGGTCATATGATATCCACAACCATGAAGCTTGCCATGGCCTTCGCAGGGTAGGCCTCGTTGTACTTGCCCAGATAGTAGTAGGCCTCACACCCCCATCACTCACATGACAAGAAACCATCCCGTACGCAAAAAAGAAACCAATTTTCTGGCAGTTGCAGAGTTTCACATATATATATGTGTGTGTGTATTCTCTGTCACTGTCTGCAAACATCAAGTCTTGGGAGTTGCCTACTGCTTACCGAAGAAGTTTATTTTAAACCCCACTTGAATTGGAAATCTAGGGGCACTTGTTCCAAGAGTCTCCAAAAGTGGGTGCATGGAAAATCCTTTGGTCAAAGGCAGCACTTTCACCTGACCAGTCTGCATTCTGCCTTCCCCTTCACGGTTTCCCATTCCGCTGGTTCGTAGATCTTTGGTGCACCTGGCAGGCTGCAACATGCATTCGCTCTCAGAATCAGTTTACAATGATTGGAAAAAAATGACACTTGGAAGGCAAAATCCTCCCCTTTTCTGTCCTTTAAAGTGTCACTTTGATCAATCATGAGCATCAGCTTGCAACACGTGTACTTCCGTACCGGTCAAAAACTAGGCCCAATTACCCGCAAATCTGGATATACTATTGAGCAGAAATGGCGGGGGACTTCAATTTATGGCCATCAAATTGTGGGAACGTTCTAAACCACGGATTGCTGGGGGCGTTCCCAACATTTTAGACATGGCATGCTAAGGGGGGCTATGATTTGGACGTGCCTTTCTCTTCACCCGTTTCGTCGTCAAATTCAATGTCGCGCAAAAAGTCAGCATACCAGTCCTCAAGTGACAGATGATGGGAATTCACAATCATAAAAAGTAGATATTCAATCAGTGTATATATTAACATATACACATATACCCAACTATACCGGATATTTACTGGGATGTAGTGGGATACGTCTAAGCAATGTGCTTTCTTGGTCTTGTCTGAATTCCCCTAATATTCGGCATATGACAATGCTAAAATGATGACTGGACAACTCCCTGATTCTTCGACAAACCCGATGGAATCCGGCACTGGTTTCCTTTTTTCGTCTCTCCGACTATCCTAGCATGTTTTAGCCAATCTCAAAAGTATATGAAAATCAAGTTTCATCATCATCATCATCATTCAGGATGGAAAATCAGTTAGATGTTCTTTAAATATGTTTAAGGGTGTCAATAAAAGGTAAAACGTATCTCCAATAGATTTCCCAAATGGCAACTAGTGGGAAAAAAACACATTCATCAGTTCAAAAATCATCTGCAAATTCAGGAATTCTTCATCTGCTTCCAAGCTTCAGTGTTCTTGTTGTCAGTTGCCAGCTGCTCTCCAAAGTGCTGAGGCATGAACCTGTGAGCCCAGCAGCTGGAGAATATATATATATAATATCATCCATAATCTCAAAGAAAATATAAAAATACATCGGGAAAAAAAGAAAGAAATCCAAGAATTGAGTCGGCCTAAAATCATCAAAATCCACAATTGTCACAATCCAACTTGGGCAGGTCATCCAAACAATACAACTCGATCTTCAGCCAAGCGTCTCAGCAAGGGTCTTCCTGAGCCCGTTGGATGTGGCATGTGTTCGTGGCCCAAACCTTGTTTGGTGGCCAAAATCCCTAAGAAATCCTAGGTTTTGTTGAAAATATCCTGCCATTTACTGGCTTGGTCCTCCATGAAACTGAACACGAGTGGAGACAGGGATGTCGAGCCTACAAAAACAGATCATCAAATAGTGGATGGCTGGGGAATTTCTCCGCTCATCTCCCTGGCGACACCACCCATGTGCTGTGAGGATTATCAATTATCATCAATTCTCGCTGTTTTCCCATTAAGAGTTGGGATTTTTGACCTGTTTGGGCTCACTAAAACCATCCACCCCATCCCTCCCTGTTTCCCTCCAGGCGACTCCACCAAATTCTTGTCCACGTCTCGGCACAGCTTGTCGGCAAAGACGCGCTGGCCTTGGGCCGACTCTGGCTCCACTTGACATGGCCCACTGGGCTGATCAGGGATTGATGTTTTGTCCATGAAACAATGGGTTTCCCTGCATTTTTTCCAGCCAATTCTGGGATAGTGGGTGGATTTGGGGGGTATCAGAAGACTCAGAATGGTAATGTATCTACATCATTCTACATCCACGCTTGGGATGACCAATGTTGTCTGGTGCTCATAGGTAGTAGGAACCAGTTTGGGGATTCCATCGTGTTGAGCCTGTCCCCACTTGACTCTTCTGAGAATTGTTGGGACTGTTGGGATGTCGTTACACTGCAAGGAGGCTTCATGCAGTTGAGCAGCATTCATGCTTCCAAAGACCCACCAAGATGGACGGCGTGTTTGCCACGTTCACAGGGCATTCCATAATTCCCTGGCAAAGATGGGAGTGGAGGCGGAAGTCTGAGACGGCTGATAGGGTGCCAAGACTCCCAAGACCCAAGGGCCCAAGATTGTCCTTGTGGTCAGAATCTGTGTCCCCTTGTTGTGAGACGTAGACATAAAATAAAGGACCACAGAGGCCTTCCAGTCGACAGGTTATTTGTGTTATCTGAGGACATCCCTCAAGGCACCAAAATAGACAGTTGTTTACTTCCATGAGATACATAATTGACTTTCTAATTTCCCTCATTTCCATCATTTCTATCCACCAACTGTCACGGGCATTTATTCCCATTACTCGGGGTAGAGCAATGCATCCAATGATGGTGACACTCGGTTACTTTAGGAAAGGACCGAAAGGACACACGCACACACTTCCAGTATTGACCTCCAAGGGTAGAGTATCCACACAGAGCATCCCAAGGATTTTCATCAACAAAGAGTGGTCAAATCGCTGGTGGAGCACTGAAAAACGGTGAAAGGAGCGGATCCCATGTTTGAGCCATGCCACACCCACACATCAGGCTGCATGTGCCGACACACCTGGAACACTCGGCTCAAATCACGCATGTTGAAGATGTAGTGGAAACCTGGGGTGTGGTTCATCCAGGGCTCAGGGATTCTAAGGTCCAAAAATATCGAGACATGTGCTAAGTCACTAAGTCTAGGGCCCAGAGGTCCAACAAAAAGTTGTTAAGCATCCCCACTTGTTTATCCCCAAAAAAAGTGTTTCTGAAATCCCGTTCTTGGCCAATCTGCACATCACTGGTTATCCCCCATGACCCATATGGCCTTGTCTAAGAGGTACCCCAAAACTCCACTGGTTCATGACTTTCTCCATTCTCAATCATTAAACTGTGCGTGTTGTGTTTCTACAATGATATGCAGAGTCCACCAGTTTCCAGGATGGTGGTGAAACAAACATGCGTGCTGGCTACGAATTAAAATTCAACAGTGTTTCTACAATGGTTTACATACCCGAAAGATATCCCCATTGCGAACCCATAGCCGCCATAGCCCATTGCAAAACGTGTCCCACTTCAGTGTTTTCACCGGGCATCCCTGCGCAAGGGCGTGGGCAGCAGCTTGCCCTTCACGCGATCCCAAACCTTGGGGTTGCGAACGGGTTTGTCTGATGTGTTTTTAGGAAAATGATGATAATCCCCTAGGGTTGGATGGGTTCCCCAAACTTTCAGACCCCATTTGGCAATGTCCAATTTCCTGGAGGAAAAGTTGATTGGGATCATCACAAGCAGGAGCTGAATATGACCTTCGATATATTCCCTCAACAGCAGCTGCTTTGTTCTTGATCTTCATGGCAGAGGATGATACTTTGTGATTCATCCTATCATAAGTAGGCGAAAACCCGGTTGTTTCAATGGGGGAAGTAGGGTTAGTAACATTAACATCACTGGGATTACAACCTAACAGTATTTCCGAACTAGGATGAATCACTGAATAGGTCGGACATTGGTCTGGAAATAGGCTAGCCCTGGCTAGCTCATGGATCATCACCCACTTAATTTCTTTGGCATCCCCCAGGTTTGGACATACCAATTGACAAACCCATATCATACAAATGCTACTGAATGATGTACAAATAACACATAGATGATGTGCGTATGATGCCTAGAGTCTATACGATGTCCAGATGTTCTTAGATGATGATAGATGACAACCAATAAGATATACCCTCAAGTAGTCAAACGTGGCACTTGAAAATCCCCCCAGGAAATGGAGGTGTCTAGCAGAGAAAATCTGCAAACTATCTTTGATTACCAGAGGGTATATGCAAAAATGATTGCTGATTTAATTGAATTTAACCAACCTTTACGGAGATATACATAGGATACAATGAGGATATATGTGGTTTCCATAGTCATGGGGGTACCCCTTTATCGCTGGATGGTGTTTATTTCATGGAAAAATCATCTATAAAAGGGAATGATAACCATCTTATTTAGTGGTTACCCCCATGATGACCATCCCCGCGAGTCAAGAGACATCCACCGTGGCCGCCGTCAGCTTCTTGCTGAGATCGATGACGTCCGGCTTGGCTCCGGCCTGGAAGCTTTGGAAATTGTTTGACGGTCACGTCTGAAACCACCAGGTCCAAAGAAAACATGGATAAATTGATTAATGGATGGATGAATTCATTGATTTTGCGAGAGATTGCTTGCATGAATAGTTGGAAACCTGCAATGGTCTGGAATCCCATGTCACTCCATCCGGGAATGGATTAAAATTAAAACCCCAAAATTGGATGGTTCTTGTTTCATGTTCGAAAATCCCCTCAGTCCATCCATGGTACCCCTGGCCATGTTTGACACAGCTTAGTATCATCCTGCCTTCAACTGGTGAATAGCCCTGATGAATAAATCCCGAATCCTGGGTTTTTCCGTCTATGTTTGGGTATATCCCCATTTTAACGGTGCTAAGGATCATTTTTTCTTGGTTTTAGCAAGTTTTAGCGCATTTTCTGGTATTGTTGTTTGTTTGCCTCACAATGCTATTTTTGCAGCTGAAACATGCTTACGTCCCAGAATTTGTTTAAGAAAAAATGCAGGAACCCCGTATACCCTGGTGTCCTGTAGTTTTTTTCCGAAATCAACACCCGGTAAAGAACTCTGAGTCTTGATTCTACCAGTAGTACCGCGCAAGGCGGTGGCGGAAGCTTCAAAAACAGGAAACCTATAGGGCAGGTTCGTTGTTGTGAATCACGGATGGCAGAGCGAATCCACTGAGGGACGGAAAGGTGGTTGGATTTGTGTTTTCTGGAGTGGCTGCGTGGCTGCAATGGTTGCAGTGGTCACCTCGCCACAACTGCTGGATGTAGTGTGGCGCAGTAGCAGTTGTAGTTGTAGTTGTAGTTGTGGGGTAGTGGAATGTAGTGTAGTGTAGCGTTGGCGTAGTGTAGTGTGGTCTGGTGTGGTGTAGTGTAGTGCTGTGCTGTGTAGTGTTGTGTAGTGTAGTGTAGCGTAGTGTAGTGTGCTGTAGTGTAGCGTAGCGTAGCGGAGCGGAGCGGAGTGGAGCGGAGTGTGTGTAGTGGTGTGTAGTGGTGTGTAGTGGTGTGTAGTGGTGTGGTGTGTAGTGTAGTGTAGTGTAGTGTAGTGTAGTGTAGTGTAGTGTAGTGTAGTGTAGTGTAGTGTAGTGTAGTGTAGGGTAGGGTAGGGTAGGGTAGGGTAGGGTAGTGTAGTGTAGTGTAGTGGTGTGGTGTGGTGTGTTGTGTTGTGTTGTGTAGTGGAGTGCAGTGGAGTGCAGTGCAGTGCAGTGCAGTGTAGCGTAGCGTAGCGTAGCGTAGTGTAGTGTAGTGCAATGTAGTGTAGCGTAGCGTATACGTAGTGTAGCGTAGTGTAGTGTAGTGTAGTGTAGTCTAGTGAAATTAGTGTAGGGCAATGTAGTGGTAGATGCAGTTGTAGTCACAGTTGGAAATGTAGTTGTAGTTGTAGGGTAATGGAATGTAATTAGTGTAGTGTAGTGTAGTGTAGTGTTGTGTACTGTAGTGCTGTTGTAGTTGCATTTGTATTTGTAGGTTGTAGTGTGCTGCAGTATAATTAGCGTAGTGTAGTTTAATGTAGTGTAGTTGTAGCTGTGGTGGTAGTAGTAGTAGTAGTCGTCGTCGTCGTCGTCGTAGTCGTGGTCGTGGTCGTGGTCGTAGTGGTAGTGGTAGTGGTAGTGGTAGTGGTAGTGGTAGTGGTAGCGGTTGTTGTTGTTCTTGTTGTTGTCGTTGTCGTTGTCGTTGTCGTTGTCGTTGTCGTTGTCGTTGTCGTTGTCGTTGTCGTTGTCGTTGTCGTTGTCGTTGTCGTTGTCGTTGTCGTTGTTGTTGTTGTTGTTGTTGTTTTGTAATTAGTGTAGTGTAGCGTAGCGTAGCGTAGCGTAGCGTAGTGTGGTGTAGCGTAATTAGATGTAATTAGTGTAGCGTAGTGTAATTCGTGTCGTGTAATGTAGCGCAGTATATTTGCATTTGTATTTGTAGTTGCAGTTGTCTGTCTATCTATCTATCTGTCTGTCTGTCTGTCTATCTGTCTAGCTCCAAGCTTGAAAACGAAACGGTTCTGCGAGACTTTCCTCAGCTTTTGAACTTGACAACATCAAAAATGCAGCAATTCTGCGAGACTTCTTCAATTTTTGAACTTGACAACGTCAAAAAACGAAACATTCTGCGAGACTTCCTCATTTTTCGAAGTTGACAAGAGAAAAAAACGAAGCAATTCTGCGAGACTTCCTTCAAAAATGGAGAGTTGAGTGCAGAGCTGACGGCCTCGGACCAATGCGTTTTGCGATTTTTCCACTCCATCTGTCTAAAGTATTGCGCCTACCACGCAAAAATGATGCCAAGTCACACGAAGTGCTGCATCTGTCACGCAAAATCATCTTAGCAAACCTGAAGATCTGATGCTCCAAAATGCAACCCCTCTCAGGAAATGAGCGCCCTGACCTCCTAACATCTCTGATGAACATGTCTCTTGTGCTGTGCCTGCCACGGGAAAAACATCTTTGCAGATCCTCTTCAAATGTCCCACACCTGCCATTGTTTTTGAAACTGCTACAAAACCCTCAGGTTTTGCGCCCTTTTGACAAGGTGCACCATCCCTTTCGCCTGCCCCGCAAAACGACCTCTGAACGTCCAAAAGTGCTCCAGCTTTTTGCACTTTTGACTTCGAAATGTGCTTCGCGCCACAACGGTGTGCACTTTTTCGACATCGCAACTTCAAAAAGTCTCCGAACATGAGGTGTTTTGTACATTTTGCCTTCGACATGTGCTTCTCGCCACAACGGCGTGCACTTTTTCGACATCGCAACTTCCAAAACTGCTCCGTGCATGTTGTGCTTTGTACATTTTGACTTCGAAACGCGCGTCGCGCCACAATGGCGTGCAACTTTTCATCTCGCATCTGGCCAGATGGCTCCGCACCCGCCGCTTTAGCGAGCCTATTCGACCCTCTGGAGCCACAGATCATTGGAAAAACACAGTGATTCGCAACTTTTGTACCTTTTCGCGCACCTGCATCTTCTTTCTTCTCACTCTTTCTCTTCTCTGATCTTGTCTCTTCTTCTCTTCTCCTCTCTGACTCTTCCCACCTCTGCTTTTCCATCTGTCCATATTGTCGGAAGTTTGACTTCTAAACTTCCTTCGATAAATACCCTGTTGACACTTCAATCCTCAAAATATTAAACTGGTTCCCACACCTGAAGCTTCTACCAACCCAATGATTCAGATTCAACCTCAGGTGCCTTCCTCAAAAAATAACACGCAAACTGTCGCGCCTTGCTACTGAACTTGGACTTCATGATGCTGCCAAAGATGTTGTCCACCGAGACCGTCGAGGGCAGCACCATGTTGAAGCACATGAACCTAGGAACTGGAAGCCAGGGGCAAAGAAAAGAGAAAGAACACAAACACAATAATGGGGGATCATGGGGACATGAATGTACAATGTCGCATTTTATGTATGTATGTATATATATATGTGTGTGTGTGTGGGCGTGTGTGCGTGTGAGTGTGCGAGCGTGTGTGTGTACATATAATGTGTATGTATATATATATATATATGTAATTATATATACATATATATATATATGTATATATATATGTGTGTATATATATATATTTATATGTGTATATATATATGTGTGTGTATATATATATGTGGATATATATATATACTGTGTGTGTATGTCTGTGTGTGTGCGCGCTCAACAATGAAAGTGTTGGGTATAAATAAAAGTATACTCATCACATTATGCACATGCGGATGGGATTGGGATGGATACAAAAGCTACAGCGAAGAAAATATCTGGATATCAATCAACAATGGGGACCTTAGCAATCGATAATTATTTGGTGACTCTTGTTAGCATAAATAAAGGACGTGGGAACATTGCATTGACCAACTAAAAATCAGGAAAGGGCCAGTTCATTGGGATACTTATCAGTTAAGACCAAGATCTAAGAGGGGATATCGAACAAAAGCGGGGAGATGTATCCAAATAACGGTAGGATATGATGAAGAAATTGTGGGGATCAATGGGAGATTTAATGGCTCGGTTGCAGCAAGGACGTACCCTGGAGAGTCGAAGATGCCCCGCGGGCAAAAGCGGTGGCTGTGAGGATACTTTACCAAAATTGAGTTAGGTCACTGCACCAATGCATCAAAATATATCAAAATGAGGACTTGTGTAGTCGGTTGCAACATGTTTTATGCCACTGTCCAGTCATGTGAATAGATACCACTGCAAAGACCATGCCAGAGCACTTGGACTTGTAGCGGTTTGGGATGTCATTCTTTCCACCACCTGGCACATGGCGCTCATGGAAGGGGCACCCAGAGATCCAGCGGCTGAATCACTGGTACACCTTCTCAGACGTCGAGCCTATACCATAACTTTCTGCGCATACAGCAGTCAAAAATTGGTGCATACAGAACTAAGTCAGAATATTCTCATGATGCACAATATTCCTGTATGTGTATGTACGTTATAGAATATCATGTTGCATATCACATCTATATGATATGTATATCATATACATATGATATGTATATCATATACATATGATATGTATATCATATATATATATATACATATCATATGTATATAGGTGCAGATCCCAACCCCCAGAAGACCTGGATGGCCCATGGCGCCAATGTACTGCAAGCCCTCAATGCTCTTAAAATCACCACCTTGGAGTGGCGCCAGCGACGCCCTTACCGTAGCTTTGGACCCAAGATTGGGAAATTGCACATGATCTATGGATATCTATGGTAAGGCTGGGAGAATCATTCTTTTTTACCAAAGCTGGAATTTAGGCTTGTCTAGACAAAACCTTTTTATGTATACAGCATCCCTGCAACACCATACCATTCTCGGGAGGTAAATCCCGATGGTTGGTTTTGATCAATTGTTGCTGCTTCAATCAGCCAGTCCTCTTCCCAAAAATTCCTGCCGTGTTGCCGGGGGCATCCCCACTTTTGCTGGTTGTATCAATCTCCCATTTCTCTTGTTTGGATCCCATGTTTTCTGTTTCTCAGTTGCATCCCCTCGTGTTCCCTGAGTTGTTCGTTTTCTGAATGTCTGATCTCCAATTTTCCTGCTTTGATCCCCTTTCCCTTGCTTGTCATCCCCAACAAAATCATGGTTTTCTGAGATGGCCATACCTGTGGGCCCTACCCCCATTCTTAGGCCACCCATCTGAGTCTCCCCGCGCTTGTCCTTGTCCAAGAAATAGAAGCCGCTCATCTCGATGAGCTGTCGTGCCAGTTCATTGGTGATCTGATCGCCCCACCTAGGCGGAGCATGGTGCCGACCCCAGGGTTTCCTGGAAGACTTTTCGTTGTCCCCAAGTAGACTGGAAAACGCAAATCCTACTTGGAGGCCATTGGCGGGTGCCCAAGAATGGGCCATACCCAAAAATGCCCACTTTCATGGGTAAATGGTGATAAACCATCGGAATTTGGGGTACGCCATTGTCAGACAAACCCATTGTTCCATCACCAGGCGACTTGTTCACTAATGGCATCGCGGCATCATCAATGAAGACCTAAGCGGTCACAGTGACCATCAGCGGGCAGAATCAAGTACCAGTTGGTCAAACAATATTGGTTTGCAAGAGTCTTGGCCCAAAATGTTTGATCAATTTTGGTAGTGTCAACTCTGCATGAATCAATCCTTGTTGCTTCTGTTAAAATTTAAAAGTGATTTTCATGTGTTTTTTATTCAAATGGTATCAACTATATAAACCAAAGCGTTCTTCAGGGTTGAAAATACTTCACCATCCAATGGTTTTAGGTACTGTACTCCATAAGCCATGGCATGCCATGGCCAAGGGACAGTCATCTTCTTTCCACCGGGTGGGCAGAAGGTCTTTCCTGTCTTTCTTTCGATTTCGCCTTCAATACCTTGGTGAAACGAAGGTCCAGCTGGTCCACTGCGGTCCAACATCTCAAGATGATCTGGGGTGCGATCAAAATGGTTGATGATGATTTCCCTGATTACAAAGTGTTGGGTTTGAGGTATACTCCATCTCTGGACAAACCCATGGATTTTCCGTGCCATTTCCAGCTGCCAAGGTGCTCTTCTGGAAGCCCAATGGCTGGGTGGCACTGCTCAGATTCAAACGTTTGGAGAGCATAGCGTCCTGGTCCGGGGGTCAAGGATATGTACACATATAGTGTGTCAATCCATCCATCTGTATCCATATCTCCATATCTATATCTATCTCATTCTATCTCCATCTCCATCTCTACCAGATTATTGCACACTTCACGTGGTCCGCCGCTGTTGTCGAATCTGCTGCCTTGAGAATGGATTCAGACCCAAGCACCCCACGGGCCTGGGAGAACTTGCTGATGTACCTTTGAAGCGTTGGAACCAATGACAGCTTCGCTCTGGAAATCCCGACTTTTATATAGTTGGATTTTTTGGGGAACTAATCTGCAAATGGGTGGTTTATTGCCAAGTTATACATATATATATTATCATATAATCATATATAATCATATATATGTACATAATGACAGCCCTGTATACACAATGGGTTCAAAGCTGGCTGGCATGCTATGTCAATGTCCTCTTCCAAGAAACTGAGAGTGAGACTGCCTGGAAAACTACTAGAACACGATCAACTGATGTCATGTTTCAAACAGCCCACAACAAATGCCATTCTCAACATGAAACGGGCACTCAAACACCCAAAAAAAACTGCTGGGATGCCACAGAGTGACTCGATGTTTAGAGCTTCAAATGGATCCGCGAATTCTGGTTACTCTCTGGTAATCGTAAACATGGCTAGCTGGAAAATTTCCGATTTGATTCGATCATTTTCCCAGCTATAAACCTCCATATTTGTCGAGAGATCTCTCAGCTAGCCATGCATGATGACACCGGAGGTTGGTTGCATTAAGTTATATATCCTATTACATCCCCGTTAGAATTAGATTCCAGGAAATCGAAATTCACAATATGTGTCCTCAGGTTTTTCATACTTCAAAACTCCCATGAAATTCCTAGGTCTTGATAGAAGTATTGGAATCAAAACCATGAAACCCAACAGGATGGTGCCCCTCAGTTGTAAGTTGCTGTATAAACCCCATGAATACTATAGTATACTAGTTCGTTTTGTCTACCATAAACCATAGAATTCAGCCACTTACAAGGTAACTGAACGCTATCGACTGGGGGCCCCATCCTGCATTAAGTTCCCGTGAAACCACACATATTTCCCTTGGTCATCCTGGTTCCGTTCCAAGTCACATCAAGGCGGTGGATGTTTTGGCCGTTCCCGGAGCTCCTGAAACTGTCAGACATGAGGAAAATCAAAAGTGGCTGGAACAGTGTTTAGGCGAAGATATCCACAGAGTTTGGTAATGACACTATTGGACAATGAAAATTAGGAGGATCTGAAACACATACAGTATCCATGTCCTCCTTTTTCGACACCATTTTTCCATGGGCATCAAAGCTCGCAGAATCCAAAGAGATCTCTGCACGGATGATCCTGTGACCTCGGCCTGTGTATGCGTAGCCACACACCTTCAACGTCTTTGGCAATGTCTCCATTTGCACAAAAGAGTTGTGGCGCGGCTCGAACATGGCAGAGTTGATGTTCATGTGATTGATGATGTACTCGGGTTTGTACCACCATCCTTCTGCATGAGCCAGATCGGCGCCCACATGCGGTGGAAGCACACGATTGTCAAAGTAGTGATAGTGGTTTTCCGAAGGTTTGTCTGAAACCCACATTCTGGTCAGCCATTTGATCATGCGGCCTCCAATGCAGCCGGGCAAGAGCGTGCGCAGAGGAAAGCCACGGTCTGGGGTCAACAACTCTCCATTCTGCTTGAAAGCAAGCAACACGTCTCGCTCCCTGTCAAGGGCCCAGCCAGTATCAATGGAAGTTCCGTAAGAGCTTGTCTTTCCTTGAGGCAATTCACCCAAGGGACCCTCAAAATGAACGAAACGGTGCTCCCTGGAAGGCCGGTTGATGCCCACTGCTGCCAGCAAATCACAAAGTCGAACTCCCGTCCAAACAGAGTTGCCTACAGCACCCGCACCCCAGTCAAAGCCAACCGTCTTCTTGGTCATGTTCTGTTCCTTCCGGCGGTTGCCCGCACAAATGAAGGTAACCGGCATTGAAACAATCGTGCCCCATTCTCCAGATGCAATCTGATCCATGTTGAGCTCCACTGGCTTTGGCACCCCTGTGATCTGCAACTTGTGCTCAGATCAGGACAGGTGCGGCACAGCACCATGGTTGCGCACCACGTGCAGGGCAGGAGGAGTGATCCAACCAGCCTCCTGCAAGTGCTTCAAGGGTGGCTCCGAGTTACCAGTGGCGCGCAGCATGGCTGAGTGCCTCTTAATCCACTGGTCTGGTGTTCCAGCATCACGCACATCCACCTCAGTACATCCTGACGTCGAGGCATTTCTAGGCTGGTATCCCAAAGAGCTGTGGAAAGGGCAATCCTGCCATCCACCATCGTTCCATCTCGCGCGGGTTCGGCCACCTGCGCCATGTTTGGCCAAACTACGCCTGTACAAGCCACCCGCAGCTGGTGCTGAGTGAAGAAGCTTGAGCAACCCGCAGATCACATACTGGACAGGTACGGGTCAGAAACGGGTATCCAACAAGAATTGTGTACCTAAAAAGGTCCAAATTCAGCGCTTAAGCAAAGCAAAAACGTAAAAAACCTGCAGCTCCCACGGTCTGGCCTACCAACATGCAGGACTTGAAGGCTGGTGGTGTTCGTGTCACCTGGGCAGGTTAATTTTTGTCGCAACATGCGAAGATACCCCCAATTCAATGGATTGATTTAAGGGGGAAAGAACAAAAAAAATCTTCCACCCAAATTCTTCAAAATGTACCTGTATGTGGGAATACAATACACCCCATCCAACATGGAACCACCATACAACTATATAGTTACTCAAATTCCAAAACCACTTCCCTGTTGCGTTTTAAGGGACGAGTCCTGGCAGATTTGTTCTCTTCGTTTCTCGTACTGAACCATCCACTTCCGGGGTACTGAACGATCCAGTCAAATCTGACTTTCTTCAAACATGGGGGTATATCCAAAATATCCCAAAATTGACATGTGAACAAATTAAATCAAATGAACCTCATTTTCAGCCACCCAACCCTGGAATCGCATCATAGTTCCGGCGCAGGTGCATCATGCTTGGCAATGATGTCCAGAATGTACTCTGCACGCACGGAATCCATGGTTGGAATCAAGAGCGCGGAGAAGTTCAGGACCTCTCAAGGGATCCCGACCCCGGGGCTGCCCATAGGAGCAGCCATGGTGACCATAGCCAGCTGGCAAAATTACCTAGGATAACTTAGATAACCCCAATCAAAGGGCGGGCCTTGGGAGCCTTCCACTCATCAGGTTCCCATTTCTTCCAAGGTCGTGCTTTGTCGGTCCAGTCGGGGACCCATTCGAAGATGGTCTGCCCCTCTTCACATGGAGGGATGGCGTCCTGACACCACCAAGCTTCAAAAATTTGGCTTTTCCCGGCTTTCCCCTATCTTCATATTGCGGGTCACGGAGAAACCGGAGAAACCGAATAGTGCCTGAAAAATGGTACAACTGACGACTGCGCTTCAAACAAAGCATCTTGATCACTTCTTAAACTAGTTACATAGCATATCCTGGCATCATTCCTAAGCCAAGTTGAAAATATGAGGCACCTGCCAAGTACTCTCGGATCAAAAAAGGGTGCAGCCTTCAGCTTCTCCCTCTTGGGTGGAAAATGTTCAGCATTTTATTCCAACATTTGCAGATTCGGAATGGATCCAAACCCTGGCACCCTATAGTGGAACATCAGAAGAATGAACAGAAGGATCGTCCTCTTGGGATATCCATCCATCCAAAGTTGACTCTTTTTGGGGTGACCGTCCTTGTGCTTACTCTCCTCCAAGATCTCTTGGAACTTGGACCAGAGCCTTAGATTCTGCTGAAATCGCCACAATGAACAACAGCTGCAATCGATGGGGATTGATTACCAGCGTGTGGATTGTTCATCATGAAACTGCCACTTTCTGGGCCACCTAGATACGCTTGTTGCGAGATCATCAATGATCAAGGGAAGTTGGGGCATCTCTCAACTGTCTGGGTTGATGTTCCTAAATCCAAACCATAAATATTTGGGCAAGGTCCAAGCCCGACCAAGACTTTCCAAATCATTTTTGGGTTAATCACCACAGGTCAAAAACCCATTGCGATATCTGCCGACTAGTCTTTCAAACCGTTTCAACTTCTCTGGCACAGTCGTGAGCCTCGGTACAACCTAGGTACAACTCAGGGTAAAAACCAGTTTCAGGGAGATCTCACGAAACCTTCATCGCTCCCAAGAAACACTTTTCGCATGTCCGGCTCCAGTAGCCCACCGAAGCCCCACATGATGCACCAGGTCAAGATGCGCCTGTAGGTGTCCTGCCAGGTTAAAAAAGTGAAAACTACTTGGATGCGCATCCCAGTTCGTAAGTGGTTTATAAGCTGCAAAACTGGAGATGTCCCATATGTAGCCACTTACTAAGTGGGATGCACCCCCAAAGTATATCCATTTATGCGGAGTTGCTGCGAATCTGTCGGAAAACAAGTTTGGTCTTGACTGCCAGAATGATTTGGGGCAAATGTACTGTGCTCCAAATAGCAGAACAAACTAGCTACTGGTAACTGTTGGATTCTTGGGATTCTTGGCAACTAGCATCCCTTTTTTTTAGCGAAGCCCCCATGGTTTTCCTGGTGTTTAGGGGGGGCCCGATGTCCTCAGCAGGGATGGCGTTCTCATCCACATAGGACTTCAACGAGGATGACAGCAGGTTCAGCGTTTGGCAGATGAGGATGGAGTCGTTACAGGGCATCACCTCAGGCGCAGGCGCAGCTAGGCGCGGCTACGGCGGAGATGGAGGATGTACTGGGGATATTTCCATGTAAAAATTCCACGTGGAAAACGTGTGATTACCCTTGGGGAAGATCATCTATAAACAGTTCCAGTTCCACTTGTGGGGGGAAAATCATCTATAAATCGGGATATCATGCCGGTATGGTGTGGATATACTGCGGATGCAAATGAAATATTATAGATTGTGTAACCAACTTGGGTTCCAAACTGCCACCCTCCAAAGGCGACTCCTCGTGCTAACCCTTGAATGAAGCTACCTTTGGCTACCGACCCAGGCGAACCAAAACGCTCCACCCAGCTGATCAAAAACCACCAGATTCAGATCACTTCATATCTGGGGCGGGATCA